AAACTACTCAAGATAGTTAAGTCCAAAGCAGAAGAGCTACAAAAGGATCTATCAAAATTAGGTGCCTAGGCAACAAAATGGCAGATGAAATTCAATGTTGATAAATGCAAAGTAATGCACATTGAAAAACATAACCCAAATATACATATAAAATGATGAGGTCTAAATTAACTGTTACCACTCAAGAAAGAGATCTTGGAGTCACTGAGAATAGTTTTCTGAAAACATCCACTCAATGTGCAGCAGCAGTCAAAAAAGCGAACAGAATGTTGGGCATCATTAAGAAAGGGATAGATAATAAGACAGAAAATATTATATTGCCTCTATATAAATCCATGGTACGCCCACATCTTGAATACTGAGTGCGGATGTGGTCACCTCATCTCAAAAAAAGATATACTGGAATTGGAAAAGATTCAGAAAAGGGCAACAAAAATGATTAGGGGTATGGAACAGCTTCCATATGAAGAGAGATTAATAAGATTGGGACTTTTCATCTTGGAAAAGAGACGATTAAGGGGGGATATGATTGAGGTCTATAAAATCATGACTGAGGTGGAGAAAGTAAATAAGGAAGTGTTATTTACTCCTTTTCATAACACAAGAACTAGGGGTCACCAAATGAAATGAATAGGCAGCAGGTTTAAAACAAACAAAAGGAAGTATTTCTTCACACAACACAGTCAACCTGTGGAACTCTTTGCCAGAGGATGTTGTGAAGGCCAAGCCTATAACAGGATTAAAAAAGAACTAGATAAATTCATGGAGGATAGGTCCATCAATGGCTATAAGCCAGGATGGGCAGGGATGGTGTCCCTAGCCTCTGTTTGCCAGAAGCTGGGAATGGGCGACAGGGGATGGATCACTTGATGATTACCTGTTCTGTTCATTCCCTCTGAAGCATCTGGCATTGGCCACTGTTGGAAGACAGGATACTGGGCTAGATGGATCTTTGGTCTGACCCAGTATGGCCATTTTTATCTTCTTATGTTTCTACATATGTATTTTATAAGTTCTGAGCCATTACAGACCATCAGCTAAATATATACCGGGAAGTAAAGAGTTTTCAAAAGTTCTGTTAAAGGGGCCTTTTATGCTTACGTTAAATACATAAATAAAAACTGAAATCAAAGACTTAAAAAAAAACTGCAAGGAAAATTAATATTTCAAGTTAAATGCACCACAGCAAGATATTCAAAGTTAAGTGGCAGATTTTTAACAGCATAATTTTATATGTGCCCAACCATCTTTAGAAATTGCATGCATGGAAATTTGATGTGGTATTATTTTCATTTCATTTTTGAAAATTTAAATTAAAAAATTTCATTTTTGCCTTTAGAAATCTATTCCTAAATATTTCTGGCATCATTCATACATTTTTTCAAATAAGAATAATATTAGAAACATGTGAGGATTTCCAGGCTTTTGTAGAAGTCATATCCTCAGTGCTCCTTTACAACGTTTTTTTTTCCTGCAGCTGAAGTCTGTGTATTGCATGAGGTTCAATTTTGCTATCCTTACTCACCTAGGGTAATACCTTTGTTCACAGATACATAAGGTAGCACTTATAAGAATGGCAGAATTGGGCGCAGCATCAAGAGGCCATACACAGGAAAAACTCACATTGATTTCAATGATAAATCATCCTCAACAAAATCATAATTATTGCAGGATCAGGCACACTGTGTGTGAAAACAGGATGTTATTTTTTCACAGCAGTAGGCATGCTATGAAGGAATAACACACAAGAGAGTGTGTGGTTACTGGGAAATAACCACACCCTTTAAATACAGAGTGAAGCACAAGACCAGAAAGTCTAGTTACTCTAACATCCCAGAAGGATTGTCCAAAACAACTCCTAGAGCCTTAGCTGTGACTGTGGAGCGTGCAGCAGGCAATGCAGTGGGATACACGTAGGTATACAAAAGTGATTTTTCAGTCCCCATAATCCTAAAAGCCACTCTAATTTGTGTCAACTGCCAATGGTAGCCAGGGATTGTCAGGATACAGCTTTGCTGTTGGATTTGGGGAGTTTGGTGTATCAGAGAGAACTGTACAGTTAGGAATGACATTTGGGACTGACAGTTGAAATGGAGCAATTAGGAATGGCAGCTAGAACTGGACAGGTGGGAGTAGCCAGCTGGAATTGTCTAGATAGGTGCGAGAGTTGGAATTAGCCAGCTAGAAATGATAGCTGGCATGGGGCAGTTGGAGAAAGGAGACTTATAGAAACACTTTCCATTTGTAGAAGATAAGGAAAGAAGAGTCAATGAGTCAACGTTAATCAGAAGCAGGATAATGCGTGTGAGAAGAGCAGTATGAGGGACGTGAAGGTGAGGTAAAGAAATGAAAACTGATAGAACATAACAAAAAAATCAAGAGAACCAGGGAAAAAGTGAGAGGAAAGAAAGGAAAGGAGAGGCAGAAATCCACCTGAAAAGAGAAGTGTGTAACTCTTGGTTAATAACGGTGTGTGAAGCTAACGGCTTGTCTACACGGGGACACTCAGCAAAATTAATTTGAATTAACTAATAATGTAAATTTAAAGTGGCTTAATTAAACCACATTAAAATCACAGTAGACACTCTTATTCAGTATTAAAATAGTCTTAATTCAGTTTAGTTTAGTTTAATTCACTTCCTAAACGAATTAAGATGAATGGAATTAAACTCAGTTTAAATAAGGGCTTGGCTATATGGGGACACAGGAAAATTAATCTGAATTAACTAAAGGTGTGAATTGAAAGTGGATTAGTTAAACTATATTAAACCTCTATGTGAGGCTGTCATACAGAATTAAAGTGGCCTTACTTCAGTTTAATTTTAATTTACTCCTCGGGCTGGAACTTCATTTTGAGTGGTCACTGAATTTTAAATTGTTTTAATAATTGTGTATTTGTAATCAACAAGAATGTGAAATAGGTTTACAAACACTGACAATATGGCTGAGAATTTAACCACACAAAAATGAAAGTTACAATTTCACCAGCAGTTGTTACTCAAACATTGCACGGTCACATGATAACATCAGAATCTAAGGTTCTATTTAGGAAAAACGTTTCTAGTCCTCCTGATTGCAAAAGCTGGAGGGTGAGAAACATAAATAATCGGGTTTAAACAGAAATAAGAATGTCCACACAGCATTTTGCTCCAGTTTAACTAAATAAATGCATGTAGACATACACACTAAAGCCATGTCTACACTAAAAGTGCTTTACCAGTATAGGTACTATACCGGAAAAGGGCTCCTAGTGTGAACGCAGCTTATATTGGCAAAAGGACTGGTATAGTTTTTTTTACCTTGGAAGCAAAACCAGCTGTACCAATAAAAGCACACTTTTGTGAGTATAACTGCATCTACACTAAGGGCTTTTGCTAGCACAGTTATGTCAGTGTTCACACACCTGACCTACAAAGCTATGATGGCAGAAATTTGAGATGTAGATATAGCCTAAATCAATGGGACTACTCAGATTGTTGCTTTTTTGCAGATTCAGACTGAGGGTCCTGTGGCACCTTTAAGACTAACAGAAGTACTTCTGTTAGTCTTAAAGGTGCCACAGACCCTCTGTTGCTTTTTACAGATTCGGACTAACACGGCTACCCCTCTGATACTTTACTTATGTAAATTGGTGCAAGATTGGGCCCAAGTAATTAAAAGTCACTTGTCTCAAAGGGGTTTTGGTTGTACCAGGCTGAATGGAATAACCCTTCCATAGTGGTATTATTTGTAGTATGTCAATGATGCTAATGAGCAATGAAAGATCATTACATTGTAATGTGAGATCACATTGACTACATTCAGGATTGTATGTCCTGCAAGCTGCAGCCATTGCAGAATGTGGGGCAGACTTTTGACTAGCCTGAAAAATTGAGGATGGATGACAACCCTAGAAGGTTTCATACAAGACCAAGTCAGACTTTATAGTTTAAAATACAAGCGGCTTGGTAACTATGAAATTTACAAATTAACCCCCCCACTCTCCCAAAAAACCCTAGTAACAACCTAATTTTCTTTCTAAAAATAAACATGTTGAAGACAATATATGTTTTGTTAAGTGATGAGAAACTTTAACAGTAATTATCTCACAACACTGCTACCTACCTCCGTTTTTTTGGCTTTGTTTTTCTTCAAAATTATAGAGAGGCATCTATGTTTATTTACACAGATAATATGAAGGCCTACCTGACAGAGCATTGGCCTGGGACTCAGAAAGGCTGGGTTCTAGTCCCAGCTCTGCCACTGGCCTGGAGCAAGGGATAACCTTAGATAAGTCACTTTGCCTCAGGTCAGGTCTACATCTAAAATTTAGGCATAACTACAGCCCTCAGGGGGGTGAAAAATTTTTCACTCGGTGCAGAGTAGTTCGGTTGACTTAACCCCTAGTGTAGACACAGCTAGCTACTCCCTCTTGAAGAGGTGGATTATATCTATATCGGCGGAAAAAAAACCCTCCACTGATGTAGGGAGCACCTATGCTACAGCAGCACAGGTGCAGCAGTGCCTGTGTGTTTGACTGAGGGGAGGCAAAGCTTCCAATCACAGACAAGTCACCAGCTTCAAGGGATTGATCAAACCAATTCTCACCGCCCCCCCTCCTTTAAACAGAGGCCAATGGGGGAATTAAGGAGACCCCCCCGCCGCCAAGAGGTGGGCAGGCTGGCCGCTCCCCGTCTGCTCAGAACGACCTCAGCACTCAGGCTGGGGAGGCTTCATTCCACACGAGGGCCAAGCCTGGGGGAGGGGAAGCGGCCCCGCTGGGTACCAGGCTCGGTCGCCCACCCAGCCGCTTCCCGGTTCGCCAATACGGCCTGTCGGCCTGACCCAGGCTCAGCCCCACTGTCCGCTCTGCTCGCTCCCAAACTCCCCCCTGGGGCCAGCCCCACTCTTGGTCTGGAAGGAGCCAATGAGAGAGGCAAATCCGCCTGAGTGGCAAGCGAGGGCAGCCAATGAGCAGGCGCCTTGTTGCCAGGTGGCTCGAGCGCTCGCTCTCGCGCTATAAAGGCGGCCGCGCGCGGAAGGCTGCGGTGCGGGCTGGAGAGTGCGTGTCTCTCGCGGGGGAGGGGTGACGGCGGGGCCAGTCGAAGAGCAGCCGAGCGCCGCGCGAAGGGATCCCAGATCGAGCTCACGCGGGGATTTTAATCCGATTCCGGCCGGCCCGGATTTTATCGAGAGCGGGTTTTAAGGTGAGTCTCGCCGGGCGGGCCTGGACCGAGCCGCGGGGCGGGCGGCAGGACCGCGGCCTTTCTGACCGTGCGCTACGCTTGTGTCGCAGGCGGTTCTGTCTCCAGCCTCGGGAGACGGGCAGGATGTCCGAAGTGGAGCAGCAGGTGGCGGATCCCGCCGACGCCACCCAGAACGGGCACGAAGCGGCCGAAGGCGCCGGGGAGCAGCAGGCCGAGAGCGGCGGAGCGGCGGCGCCGGTGGCCGCCAGCCAGAACGGAGCCGAAGGCGACCAGATCAACGCCAGCAAGAACGAGGAGGATGCGGGGTAGGTGTCGCCCCTCGCCGCGGGCCCCTCTGGCGGGGGCTGGGCGGAGGCGCGGGCCCCGCTCTCCGCCGCCATGTGCCGCGCGGTCGCGGATCAGTAGGCCGCGCGCGCGGCTGCCTTTCGCGGTAACGGAAATGGCGGGGGAGGGTAGGAGGCCCGGCCGCTCAGACCGTCTCGGCCGCTCGGGGTAGGGCCGCGGAACGGCCCCGCCGTGGAGGGCCGGCTCGGCACCGCCCGGCGGCCAATGAGCAGGCCGGGCGCTGCAGCAGCCGAGGCCTTTCCTTTGTTCGGGAGCTGCCTTTTGTTGGCGCCATGTGGAGGCTGGGGGAGGGGCGGGGATGCAGCCGGCTGGCTCCTCGCGCTCTGAAATGGCAGAGTTCGCCTCGCTCCCCTCTGGCTGCGGCGCCCGGGTTTTCAGAGCGGGGAAGCCTGGCAGGGCCTCGCTTTCCCCGCTGTACGGGCTGGAGAACTTCCTCTCTGCGGCATGGGGGCCGGGCCCCTCCACTAGTCATTCCAATCCCGCTACTGGCCGGGTTTGAATAACGTATCGGAAGAGCCCGTCTCCCTGAAAATGGTTGGTGGGAGTCTAGGAAAGTATCTGGGGGAGAGATGGCATCCTAGAGTAGAAAGGGAACGCGTACGTTACATGCCCTACACTACTTACTACAGTATATTCCTAGGTGCATTGTCCGCTAACTGGGCTTGGCTTCATTTGAAATGCTTCAATGGCATAGTTGCAGCTGCACTACTGTGGCACTTCAGCTTAGATGCAACTACCTATGTTGCTGGTAGGAGGTTTTGCCTGTTGGCATAAGTAAAACCACCAGCCCAGGAGGTGGAAAAAAAAATTGTCAATCTAGCACTGCCATGCTGGGGGCTAGGTTGGCTTAATTATGCAGTTGAGGTGTGAATTTTTCACCCCCTTGAGCGATGCAGTTAAGATGACTTAATTTTCTAGTGTACACAAGGCCTTACTCTCTCGTGACTTTGGGAGAGAGGGTGTAGTTTTTCCAGTGTTGGCTCTCATCCAACTGTCTCTTGAGACTTGCTACTATTACCACCCCCATATTGGTGCCTACTAGTGCACAATTATGCCTGATTTGAAAAATACACATGCGCTGTATTTTGGAGAGTTGTGGATTATGCCCTCTTTTCTATTCAAACTTAACTTCTGTCCTTAGTTTGAAGCCTTGTGATTAAGGTCCAAATACACTCACATGAGCCTCCAATCTTTGGATGCTTCACAATGGCGTGGTTCTGCTCCTTATGACAGTTTGCTTGTCCAGCAGGCCTGAGGAGTGTGGGAGCTAGACCACTGGATAACTTACTGTGCAAATCAAAAATTCTGCCCTACACATTGAATTCTCTGAAGTGCAGTGCCAACCTATGGTTGCAGCAGAGTAGGAGATGTGACTGTGCTACTGTACCTGCTTCCTCATGGGGGTTGATCTTTTTTCGGTGCCGGGACTAGAATTTGCCCCAAAATCTAGGGATGAAACTGTCAGATCCTTGTATTATAAATGATTTGAAAGCATTACAGGATATTGTAATAAACTGCCAGAATTCACCATACAATGCAATCTCTAAAGTGTAACTACAGAATTGCCTTGCCATTAAAGCAAAAGTGCCACTGTAGATTACTCAAGCCTATTTGTCAGTCAGTGCAGATTAAAGAAGCCTTGCAAAAATTCAGATTTACATGATTTTCACACCTCATGGTAAAGGGTGTATGCCTAGTTTGGTAAATTTAACCATTTTGCAAGGGTGGGGTTAGAGTGGCTGTCAGGATGAACTGTTCAAAAACACATTCTTACTTTCCAGTTGGACTAATGACACGTATACTCTTTAAAGCAGGTGCAAACTAGAATCTCTCCATCAGGAAATGGTCCACTTGCCTGATAATTACAGCTCTTTTTAGATAAAAAGATGGAGTAACATACATTTTTTAAGGCTTTTTCCTTGCTGGGAACACTTAAATTATCAACTAGATTGAATTGGAAGCCAAAAAGTAACATCAAATAACTTCAGTTCACTTTGCTGGAGTTCCTGTTGGATCTTGAATTGTTTTCTGAGCTCTAATCTGAATAGATGAGCTGGGGGAGCTGAATATCCTTTAAGTTCTAAATTTCTTGATTTAAATCTCTTCCCCATTGGTGGCTGTTTTCACTTCCTACCCTTGATGTCAATTTCACGAATACTCAAATTTTCTAAACTAGATAGTCTTAAATTTACTATGCAAGAGAGTAGGGAAACCCCTTTCTGGCTGCTTTTTCATAAACCTTTTTTAACAAAGAGCTTTCAGGGTTCTAGCTATAGAATTATAAGTTGGTTGTTCCCTGCCTCTGATACCATTTTGTAACCATTTGTCATGTAGATGTGACATTAACCATGTTGAGGAACTGGGCCAAAATCCTTGAATACAAAAGCACATGTTTCAGCTTTATGGATGTTAACTCTTATCCCAAAAACTAAATTGAGAATATTAAGTACTCCACATTTATTTTTTATAAGCTAGAAAGTTATAAGTGGCAGTCAGTAAAGTACTGTTAACAGAATATTGAGGCTTAAAGACTACAAACCTTTGTTTCTAACAGTAACTGAGTAATGTCTCTGTGCTCATCTTCTTGCACCAAGAACTCTTAGGAAACACTGCATAAATCCTTTTAATTTGGATAAAGGTCTTTAAAATGAAATACAAAAGATTGCCAAGTCCTTTAATAGAATACCTTTGAAATGGCATATATTAACAGGCCATTGAATCCACTTCTTGCCTTTGGCCTTGTTCCTCACAATGCACAGGAGGCATATAGATATTCATGTACATCATACTGTCTACTGCTATAACAATTCTTAATTTAATAACTTTACCCCTATGAAATTTCAGGAAAATGTTTGTTGGTGGCCTCAGCTGGGATACAAGCAAAAAAGACTTGAAAGACTACTTCACTAAATTTGGTGAAGTGGCTGACTGTACAATAAAGATGGACCCGAACACAGGAAGATCAAGAGGTTTTGGATTTATTTTGTTCAAAGAAGCTGGAAGTGTTGACAAGGTTAGTTTAAGATTATACCTCTGATCTTTCTAAATTCTAGTGAAAATCTCCTTTTACACGAATTAATCTTGCCATACCAAATTATTTGCAGGTATTGGAACAGAAAGAACACAGGTTAGATGGGCGACTTATTGACCCCAAGAAGGCCATGGCAATGAAAAAAGATCCAGTGAAGAAAATTTTTGTTGGTGGACTTAACCCTGAAGCCACAGAAGAGAAAATCCGGGAATACTTTGGAGAGTTTGGAGAGGTATGTAACTTTAATCCCGGTACGGGCTGAAATACAGCAGAATATGCTGTAATTATATTTTGTAAACTGAACATAGACTGGATCTTCAAGTTTACATAACTTCTGTTCCAAAATACCTTGAACTATTCAAAATGCTAAGCATTTGTTATAGTAGTAACTTAAAATTATAAGGGTTTGACTTTCAAAAAGTCATGCACGTAAAGAGATGACCATCACTACAGCTCAAGGCAGAAATTGCCAGATGTGCACTTGACATTTTTGTGGTCTAATCGAGTACTTGTTCTGTAATTTGGGAACATTTATCCCCATATTTAAATCCTATTTTGGAAGGCTGGAGCTCTAAACTTGTATGAATTGGCTTAAAGAAAGTTTATGCTATTCTGTTACATAAATACCATGATAATGCTAACATGTTCGGGCATGAAATACAGAACGTAACAATACAGTGAAAAGTAATGGTCCTGAAATTGTAATATTTAATGTTTTTCAGATTGAAGCAATTGAACTTCCAATGGATCCAAAGACCAACAAAAGGAGAGGCTTTGTGTTCATCACTTTCAAGGAAGAAGATCCAGTCAAGAAGATCTTGGAAAAAAAATTCCATAATGTTAGCGGAAGCAAGGTAGGAAATGATTCAACTTGAAGCAATTATTTCCCCAATTTCAGAGGTTGGTATCTAGTTTAAACTGAATCTCATGCTTTCTGAAATAATTGTTGTAGTGACTCATTTCTGGTCTTCAGGTACACTGATGCAGTAAGGACAACTTGTATTTCATTAATTAAGTTGGACTATTACTTGAAGGGCTCTGGCAGGCATGCATGCATACATACTCTTCTGGGATTTCTCAAAGAATAGACTTTCTGCTGATACTGCAGCAAGTTTTGTAAAGGATAGTGTTAACCTCAGAAAATGAGTTCAGCTGCTACACTTGTGCAAGTCCCCTTGTGGTTTTAAAATAACTTTAATATTTTAGGGTAGGTAACTTACTGTGAGACCTACACCAATAAATTAGCTGAAGTGCTGTTAAATGCACAAAATTTAAACTTAGATTTAATAGCTGTTGAAGTGATTTTAACATGATCATTTTGACTTCAGTCTGACTGTGCCCCTTTAATAGCACTCCCTGGTGACCTTGCAGCAGTAAACAGGAGCGGAATATCCACAAGCACTGTTGATTTAAAATCTCAAATCTGCAAAAGACTACCAATTTAAACTTCTGGGATCTCTTTATTTGGATCCTCTTGACCAGTGGCTCTCAAGGAGGAAGTAAGCAATTTTTCAGAAATAGTGTTTGTTTTTGTTTTTTGTAAGGTGAAACTTGAGGTACACAAGACAAATCAGACTACTGAAAGGGGTACAGTAGTCTGGAAAGGTTGAGAGCCACTGTAGACTACCAGTAAAATCACAGCTCTCCTACTTTACATTTTCAGTTACAAAGGCAGTGTTGTACTTAAGCACACTGCTCTCCTTGCTTTTTTTCAGTGTGAGATCAAGGTAGCGCAGCCAAAGGAAGTATACCAGCAGCAACAATTCAGTAGTGGTGGAGGAAGAGGCAGCTATGGAGGAAGAGGCAGAGGTGGAAGAGGTGGTAAGTGTTGCACACGCTACTTAAGTATGGACGCATTCAGAACTAAGATGCTTGTACTAAAATGGGATTTTGTGGATGGTTTTCCCTTCTGTAGCTCAAAGTCAAATTTGGAATCCAGGTTATGGCAATTACTGGACCCAGGGTTATGGGAATCAAGGATACGGCTATCAGCAAGGTTATGGTGGCTATGGAGGCTATGATTATTCAGGATGTGGGTATTATGAATATGGACCAGGCTATGATTACAGTAAGTAAAGAGAAATGTATTGGGTATGAGCACCATAAGTAATAGCAGCTTAATGCATTTGATCTCTTGTTTATAGGTCAAGGCAGTGCAAATTATGGGAAAAGTCCAAGACGTGGTGGTCATCAGAATAATTACAAGCCATATTGATCAAATTTATTCAGGTATGCAGTGGCATGGTCTCTTTTAGAAAATGACTGCATAGGTTTTGTACTCAATGCTGTAGATGGATATTACAATTATGTACCAAATTTAACTTTACAATAAATTTCTATGGCCTGTTAAATGTGCATCTTACTCAAGAGCTCCCTGGAAATGTCTTACATGTTTAATATTTACAGATAACTAGTTGTCTAGACAGTGTGGTGTGTAAACTTCAGTCTTGCTGAAGATATTAATTAATGATTTTATTAATAGGTTAAACTGAAACTGATTTTGAGGGTCTGCTTAAAGCTGCAGCTCTGCAACTAGGGACTGCCTCTTGGAGTTTACTATGGACTCTGCATTACTCCAGTTGTACAGAATGAGATGTATCTTAGGGAACCAGTGTCACTTTCCACCTTTTTATTTTGTATTGTTTTTGTGTCATACATTTCCTGTAATGGAAGTGTTAATTTTACTGTACTTTTTGGTACCTTTTTGGAATCTAATGTATTGTAAGGTATTTTACATGTGTTCTGATTCACCATGACATGGATATTGAAGCTATCCTAGCTTTTGAAATAAAAAAGGTGTAATCTAGTGTCTTGTGCTATTCTTCAGCTGTATCAGTACAACTCGGGTGTACTGCTTCCAGAACTGAAGTAAAATTAGTTGTTCATAGCAATCTCATCAGTTAAAGGTTGGACTTTAAAACCAGACTGTGTTGGTCAGTGGTGTGCTCGCACTTGAAAATGAGCATCTGCTCCAACTCAATTGTGAGTTTACAGAACAGAAAACTCAGTAGAAATCCCTCACTGAAATTGAGCTGTCCAGGAGTGGTGGCGGCTTTTGAATATCTTGTCTTCCAGACAACTGTAATGATCCTTTAAGCTTAACTGTGTACTAGTAGTTGACTTTGCCTCGGCTTTCTAGAAAGAAGCCAAACCCTAGGGGAGGAGGGTTCTCAACCTATTTACCATTGTTATGTGGGGTGCATCCAATACTACCTGTATGGCACTAAGGATGTCACATGGGTTACAGCTCTGTGCTGATTGGACTGCAGGTTGAGAACCACTGATCTAGGCAGAGACTGAGAATGGATGTTTGCAGGTAGCTTCATTGAAGGATCAGAACTGTGGAGGGGAGACTAAGGAGAAGAATCCCTCTTTTTTTTCTCCTGCTTTTACCAGGCATTGTTAAATGGTGTCTTAAATAGTGACTAAAAAATTTCCTCCTCATTTGTGCGCAGGTCTCATGTCCTTGAACTTGTGACTTAATCTCTTTTACCCTCCCATTTTCCAGCCTTCCAGGAAAAGTGGGATAGACAGAACTTGAATTTCTAATATAAAGACAAACAACTTTTCTGGCTTTATATAAATTAAAGCAAACAAAACCTGTAACGATAAAACTGGCATTTAAAATGCCAGTCCAAAATTGTGCAGGCTACACTGTTTCTCCAGGGGTAAGAATATCAATTCCTCAAACTTTTGTCCTGCATTGTACCTACTCACTGCAGTATCTCTTATTCTAGGCTTACTGACTACTCCAAATACCACCTCAGAGTACTCTATTTAATGGCACCCACTGTTGGGCTTTCTTGATGGGAACTGGAAGAACCATTTCAAAGTGACATTGCCACATACCTAGCATAGCTTTGATATTTCAATGTAGCAGACACACCTAAATTTTAAGCAGTATGGCTGAAATTTTAGTTCTTAAAAGGATTAACCTAACAGAGCAACTGAAAACCAAGACTACAAGCTGACCTTACACACAAGTAACTGACTCTTTGTTGTATGGTTTTTAACTTCTACTGCATTTCCTTTCCTACCTTACAATAACTGCATTCCCTAGTACAGAAGGTAAACTAAACTCCACTGGGAGTAAGTGTACCTAAAAAGGTCAATAGTGTTAATGGAGTAATGCCAGTGGGCTTGGTGGAAAGCATCTATTGTAGAAGCATTTGTTTAAATTGCCAGGACTAGCAGCAGATGTAGTTCTAGCACTCATTTACTACCTAAAGGTTTACAAATTAAGGCTTAATTTAATTTTTTTTGGTAAGGGGTTTTTTCTTTTGGTAGAATGGATTTAGAGATGTTAGTTTTAAAGGACACTGAGCTTGACTTAACGAAAAATAATTTTAGCTCCTAAGCTGTTCCCAGTCTCTGGCTTCACAGCTGCATTTTTTCCAAATCGCTTAATACAGCACATAGAGATGGGTTGTTCTCTCTCCTATTTCTACCCCCCCCCCCCTTTGCAATTTCCAGAGGCAGTCTAAAGCTGTAGCAGGGCATGTGCACCTGTAGACAACTCCCCCACCATTCCTCTTACCTCCCCTGCTGCCTAGTCTCCTGCTTCTGCAGCAGCAGTCAAGCACCACTTTGCTCCCACCTGTTCTTTGGCAACTTAATTTTCTTCTTCCTCTGCATAATTAGCAGTGGGATAGCCTCAGCCACCTTGAACCAACAATCCACTGCTTATTTCCAGACTCTTCTAGCTCCCCTCAGCCATGGCAAAACGCTGTTCTAGATTAATTCTGTAGTACTAGCTCATACAAAAGATATAGTAATCATACTGAATCTCTCTCCTAAACAACCACCTGATAGAGATAAAAGGGTCTCAAGGTTTCAGTGGCCACCCTCAGACTATCCTGCCCTTTGGAAGAGCTACAGTAGCCTAGTTATGAAGGATAAGCCATCCCAGCAGCCTTGGTGGCAGATCACACTTGCTGCAATGAGACTTTAGGCAAGGGCCATAGCAGCCACCTCAGCAACCAGCAGTCTACCTATCCCTGGACAAATTCCTCACGATCCAGGACTTGATATCTATAGTCTCTTATGTACTTTACCACCATAGTTAAATATTGACACAGATGCTGATCTTCCTGCTTTCATGCACAGAAATAAACCCCTGGACAAGGTCCCATATACATTATCTCCAGTACTTCCTAATAAAAGCATAGATCCATTCACAAGAATGCATGCATCAGGTGCTGGTTCTGAGCCATGTGTTGAACACTCAGCTAATGCATTATCCCACAGAACAGCCACAAGAGTCTCCCTGTATGCATTCCAGACTCTTGGTACTTGTGGCTAGATGGAATGGGAAGTACAGCTGGGGCACAGGACAGGGCCAGGCACCTGGAACCCTTGGGGAAGAAGCATCAACCTGTGGAGCTCAAATGTGTAAACTAGTGCAATGGAGATTTCAGAACTAAGAGTGCTTCTGATCCAGTCAGACAAGACTCCCATTCTGGTGTATCTTAACCTATGAGGAATGTGGAGTAACTACTTGCACAAGAGAGGGAGAGGAACAGGTAAAGAGGATTCTCCCTGCTACAGGAGCAATAAATGTAAAAGGAGAGCTGAACCAAGACAGACTTGCCTCAGAACAGTGCCTGACTGAGGAAGTCCATTTTGATTTTGCACAAGTTCAGCTTTCTGGTGGTCAACCTATTCACCAATCACAAGAACAACAAACATTTGAAATAATCTACCAGAGGAATCCCTGGGGATGGATGCTCTTTTGCAGATGGCACTATAGCCTGTATATGCATTTCTTCCCTTTCTACTTCTAGAAAAGATACTAGGTCTTCAGTGGCCAACGAGAGCATGGTTCTCCAATCAGATAGAACTGAACTGAACTTGGAGCCACTGTTGCAGCTACCTGTGAGATGAGACATCCTTTACCAAGGCATATTCCTCCATCCACACCCAAATCATCTACAGCTGATAGTCTGGCTCTTGAGATGGGAAGTATTAGGTGTGCTAGAGCTATCCTCCACTGGGAGTGGAATTGTCCTCTTTACTAGGTGAGCTTCAATACTAAAGGTCTACTCCTCCCTGTGGACTAGGTTTAGCTCATGGTGTCAAGAACAGTACAACAAATATCAACAATCCTGGACTTTATTCAGGAAGATGTAGACAAGAGACTTTAGCCCAGCACCATAACATGCCAGGTGTCCGCTTATAAGAAACATCCTATTTGCAAGATTCTCTGGTTCCTTGACAGAACCCTCGGCTATCCAGATTTCTCAGAGCAGTTCACGTGGTTCAGCCAATATTTGTGGAAGCCTACCAGTGGCATTAAAAGCCCATACCACACAACCCGTGGGGCCACTGATCTGTATCTCCATTCTGCCTATCTACAAAAACTGTCTTTTAGTTACTATTATGTCTGCTAGGTGAGTTTCTGAAGTGGCACTTCTATACCATATAAGAACTCTATTGTAACATGACAACATGCTGCTAAGAATCCCAGAATCATCATTCCATACCTCACAAGGAAATTATACTCCCTTCATTCTGTCCAAAGCCACAGCACCCAACAGAAAAAAATGTAGCACACTTCAGATGGTTAAAGAGCACTAAAGATTTATATCAGGTGTACTGAACTGACAAGAAGATTGGGCTTTATTGCCTGCCAAGGTGTCAGTGCTTCTGTTCCCGATGGCAGCCAGGGTCACTCCACAAGATCTATGGTGACTTTGTGGGTGGAAAGAGCTTATGCTTCCACAATACAGATATGCAAGGCAGCAACATCATAATCTGTTTAACACCTTTATTAGACTCTGTAGAAAGTAGGTTTTCTGTTCCCTGTAGCAGCTTCCATGATCTAGTAGAGCAGCACTGCCATTTTGTGCAATTAACTCTCTCTCAGTTCACTGCTCACTACTTCTCATAAGCAATGGAAGTGTGGGAGATTTTGCCCCAGATCCCTAAGTGGCCCCCTCAAGGATTGAACTCTCAACCCTGGGTTTAGCAGGCCAATGCTCAAACCACTGAGCTAGCCCCCTCCCCCCTTTTAACAAGGTATAGATTGGACCTCCTCTTTCCTCACTAAACATGTCCTCAGAAGGCAATTCATAGGGAACTTTTGTACAGTTTGGGACCGAGAACCATCTGTTTGAAACCTATGGCTGAAAACCAGTCTAGCTCTTTAGACCTTATATTGGCACAAAATAAATCAGGTGGTGTACCTGGTGAGACACTGAAGTATGGCAAAATAAGGACAGATACACATGATTGTTGGGTTCTATGGGATGGCAGAATGTTTGGCCAAGCTCAGATGGTTATAGTCACTGGAACAGCTCAAACCAGAAAAATGCTGCAAAATGTGGGACATAAGAGCTAGAATAGGAAAATAACTCCTGGGTAGTCATTGTTTTCTGAAACTGGCTGCTAATTAAGTGAATCCCACACCACCTTTCCTACAGCTGAAGCAAACTATATCATAATGCCTATGTATTTTCTCTAAAGCTTTTTACCGCTACAGAAGCGTTACTAAACGTTGCAGATTCAAATGTAATTGTTTAGCCTAAATGTGCACTAGTTATGGGGATTTAATGATCCTTTGTAGTAGATTTTGTCAAATTAGTGTCTGGAACCTATAGATGAAAGATAAAACATTGGAGAGTATGTATCAGGTTTCATATTTTTCTTTACATAAAGGAAATTAACCAGGTCAATGCCTCTCCTCCTACGTTGTATTTAAAGCAAAGTTGCAGACTCTGCCATGTACTGTAGCAACTCTTCCTTCTATAATGATATAGGAAATAAGCAACTAAAAAGGAGAACTACCTTCATAAAGTTTTTGTGATCAGTTACATTGCATACACCTGAAAGCTGACATCCAGCCCCTACAGCAGTCAGCATCTCTAATCTTAATGACAATTAAATCAGGCCTTAAGATTTCTCTACCCGCTGTTTAATTTCACATATCTAGACTAAATACTAGTTAAGGTATGCTGCTTATATGTTAATTCAGAAGCAACTTTTTCATGCTTGAATAAAACAGGTAATGTGGGCATAACCTGCTGTAGCTGATAATACAGCCTTTGCTTGAACTAAAGTTAACTTCCAGTGCAATGCAGAAGCATCTTAGTGTTTCTCCTTAGTTCACCACATTGTGTTTTTGCTTCTGGTCTTATTGCCACTCCCTTTACTGGCAAAATTCCAAATGACATCAACAGAAATAGGGTAGGGTCTATGCCTTAGAGGAAGCTCAGAGTATTTGGTTTTTCTTCTTTGATTACTCCAGGAGAATAGAGTAGATTCCAGAATGGACCAAGTTGCGCTTGCCTTACTCAAGGGTTCAGTAGAGCAGTCACATAAGCAGCAACCAACACAATGAAATACATTGAAAATCAACTACCCTCTCTATCACCATAAACAGACAGCACAATGGGTGATATTCTTTTCATAGCAGCAGGTTCTGAAGGATCCAGCTGCTATTGGAGTAGTCAAATTTTGAAGTGCTTTAAGGATAAAGATTTAATTATATCAAAAAACAGGCATTTCACTTGAGGGAGAATAGATGGTTGTGGGGCCTGAGAAGCTGAAGTGATCCTACATAAATCAAAATAGTGATTAAAATATCAGAAGGGGTCATCTATTTTGAAAAAAATGTGACAAACATTTGATTGCTTAGATCTTTACACCAAATGCATTGTTATTACTAGTTTAGTGATTCTAATTAAACAAACTGCAAAAGATAAAATGCTTACCTGGCCAGATAGAGCTGAGGCCTGAAGTTAATGGTGATTTCCTACTAGCTCACATGTCTTTTCTCTTTCCATGTCTGAAATGCAAGCAAATTCATAACAATGTTCAGACATAAGACATTAATGACCCCACTGAGCTAACTGCAAACGTAAAAAAAGTTAATAGTTTAGAGATGCAAAGTATTGAACTCATTCTCAACATGTGCCTGGTCAGCAGATAAATATAATGAACCTGTGCAAGAGACCACCTTTACTAGGTATCCCTCTGTTCTAAGAGAGCCCCACACAGTTATCCCCCATTAAGTACAATTGTGTTCACCTCTTAAAGAGCTTCACTGGACAGGTTAAGCCAAAATTTCTAAAATGGCCTTCAATTTTAGGTGCTTTACTATAGGTAATGATGGCCTAGCTTTCACAGGTGCAAAGCAGTTTTGAGAATTGGGCCCAACTGCCTCAAATTCATCACCTAAAGTTAGAAACCATCTTGAAAAAGTTGCCCTAAATGGCTTCTCCTTGGTCACACTACAATAGTGACAGAGCCAAGATTAGAACAGGAGAGTTCTTGCTCAGCCTGCTAACCAAAACTGCTGAAAATTAATCTGACAGTCTTACCTGTTAATATTTCATCCATTTTGTCCACAACTAATTTGGCATTGTCCATAGTAAAGCACAGTGGAGGCTTGAACTTAAGCACATTTCTTCCTGGACCATCTGTACTTAACAGAATATATTCTCTCTTTAATCTAGAGAGGGAAGAAGATTTGTCTAAAAATCTAAATACTTTTTAGGTCAAATTATTAAATGTAATCTGTTTATTTTTCTTAATATTTAAAATATTAATTACTGCAGTGGCAGCATAATAGAGACTCCAGAAAAATTCTCTGTCCTCCACGTGTTGTGGTCCAATCACCACAAATTGTCAAGTTGTAGATAATATTCAGGATATTTAAGTAGCTTAGATGAGAGGGGATTACTTTATGTTTTAACAGAAATTCACATTAAGAACTGCATGCAAGATACAATCCAAATTACATTCTCTGATGTATACACTGACATTTTATATACCAAGTGTCAGCACAGTGTAATTTGAAACTGTTGAAATCCTCAATGCTTCTTTTTATAGGTTAAAGAAACACCAGCCCACTGGCATACACTAAAGCCAAAATTTCAAAAAACAGGCGTTATTGGAGCCTCAGTACTTTTTGAAGAATTAGGTGTCTTTATTTAAAAGTTTGGTTACTACATAAGTCTTATTCTATCTATGAACTTTACGCAAACTTCCCAATGACATCAGTGAGTCTTCAAGGATAAGACATCACTTTGAGCCATATTTGGAGATTGACAAGTTCAGTGTTAATACCCATTTTATCATCTTGGTGTCTGCATAATATTTTAGTCCCCGGTGGCTATGCACATAGTTATATATATGCTGTATAAGTGTTGAATGATTAGTACTTGCCTCTCACAACATTGTTTCATTAAGTGCTACAACATTTTGTTAAATCACATGGATTAATGTATAATCACATATGTATGTACTTAAAAAAATACCTTGTTATTAAATACTCAGCTTCTTTAGTAGCTGGGGTCCTTTTCTCTTGATCTTTTATCAAATCCACTCCAATAAATAATCCAACACCCCTTTAAAAGAAAAAACAGGTATTCAGTCTAAAATCAGCTAGAAGGAATTAGGAATAATTTACAAAGAAGTGGATCAGCACCAAACAAAAAGTGAGAACTCTGTTATTCTCTGACAAGCGACTGTCCTATGAGCATATACTGTTGTAATATTTTCATATTTCACTAATTCTATTCCTAACGTGATTAGTTTGTTAAAGGGATAGAAAAAGGGTACTACTAGTTGTCTTAACATAGACGAGGCGCTGTCATTAATGTAATTAATACAGCAAGACAAGATTTTAATTTTTTCCCCCTGCACACTCTAATTCCCCGATTGAGTTCAAGTTCTGTTTGTGAATTTAGTGATGGCAGAATCAATGCAAGTTTCCATATCTGTGTTTTAACTTGGATCTGGCAGTGCCATCATAAGGCACTAGGCCAATTCAAGTCTAGACATTTTAGTCAAGTGAAAGTCAGTCAATCTTTGTAGTAGCTTGTATGGGGGTGGGGGAGGGAAAGAGATACGCAAAAAGTATTTGTGATGCTGAATTGGTGAAGAATGCAGACCCACTATAGTTCCATATTAGAATGTTAGTTGATGCATTGCCTGTTAACACAAGATTTAAAAAGCTTGCCACAACCTTTGTTGCTCCGATTTGATAAATGCTGACCTAAATCAAACTATCTGAAAATGTGAATTGGTTGTTGATACCTGACATCACCAATGATAGGATGCTTGACCTTCTGCTGATTCAGTAATTCCATCAAGAAGTTGCCTACTTGTGTGGCATGTGCTCGAAGATGTTCCTTCTCAATCACATCTAAAACTGCTAAACCTATTGCACATGAAACAGGATTTCCTCCAAACTAAGCTCAAAGGGAAAAAAAGACAGTGTCAGGCTCATAGGGAGAAAAAAAATTAAAGCACAGTTTTTACGTATCAATAAATATTTCAACGTTAACAGCCGAAAACTTTCCTCCATTGTTTGTGGACTATAACTGCTCAATGTTGCTTTCAGTTAACGTGTTACCTGTATCCTACAGGACTGTGACACTTAAATAGTGATGTCCTCTTTTACATTTAGTTGGTCATGTAATCAGAAAACAATGATTTGGTTAACTTTTCACTTACTGTATTAAAATACTCCACTCCAGTGTCTGCAAATGCTTCTGCAATTTCTTTAGTTGTTGCTACACAGGCGATGGGGTGCCCATTTCCCATTGGTTTGCCCATAGTGACAATATCAGGTACGAAATCCTCTCCCTGAAGCTGGAATGCCCAAAAACATTTGCCAACCCTGCCAAAGCCGACCTGAATTTCATCAGCAACAAAAACTCCTCCTGCCTTGTGTACGTGTCTGTAACATAATAGGGACATTTTAGACTTTTGACACTCAACTTCCATCTCTAAAATTTGTAGCATAAAATTGTGATACTTCAATTGATACATTAATTATACTGCACATTTATACAGAAAATATTTTAACCAGTTAAGAAATAAAAACCCAATATGCTTGTTCTACATTACATAAAAATAGTAATAATATTGCTGCCCTGAAGAGCTTACAATTCAATAGGACAAAAGCAGCATACTAAATCTAAGCTATTTGCATGTTGTGATAAAGATGGTGGTGTTTAATCTCAGTTTAGATAAATAAGAACACAAAACATGTATAAAGGGTTCTGAAGGGATCTACTTACTCTGCTACCATCTGGAAATAACCTTCTGGTGGAATGATCTGACCACCAACACTTGGCAAAGATTCAATGAAAAATGCAGCAATCTGGAAGAGTAACGTGCAACATTTGAACTAAATAGTAAAGGTTACTGCAGTAACATAGGCAAGTTGCAAACTCTACATAGCTGGATGAATAGTTTTTAAACTATTACTTTGTTATATATATAGTCAAATCTTCAGAAATTATATCTGATGGATGTAATACGAAAGTATAATTGTCGTTTATGCAATCTACATGCTTCTTAATTCCCTGACATGGATGGTCCTGAAATGTCTATTGCTGCTGATAAACTCTACTACTCATTCCCACTGCTAAAGTCAGCAAATAGATTAGGAAAGATCTTTTCACCTTTCTGCCCTTTTTTTGTGCTTGCTCAATTATTTTTTTCACTTCGTTGGCATAGGCTAGGACTGAATCTTTATGGTCTTCTCTGTATATTCCACGGTATGTGTCTGGGAGAGGAGCCTGAACAAAGGAACAATGCCTTATGATTAGTATGCCACAGATGAGGTGGATAATAAATTAACTGAAATAGTCAAGGTATATAGGCTGCAATATGTACATACCACGTGGACCCATTCCTTTTGTCCTTCTAGATTTCTGAATTTATATGGACTTATGTCAATCAAGGATGTCAGATGTCCATGGTAAGCACTTAAAACAAAAACAATGTAGCAGCAGAGCTAAACAGTAATTTCCATATTATCACAGTTTTCTAGAATTCCAGCTGACCAAGATATAGTCACATAGCACAAAATAGCTGCACAGGAATTTATCAGCCAGGTCGACTGTATTTGGGATTTTGGCTCCTACTTTCCACCCCTGTTTACTTGGTAGAAGAAACTGACATCAATCCCCCACTTCTTTGGCTTTTCAATGGCTTGTTTCTACTATCACAGCAGTGTGTATCAGGATGATTATTACCTGCTGGTGGTGATCAGGAATCAAATCAGAATTAAGCTCCAAAACTCCAGATGCAGAATATTTGCTGTTTCTTATGTCTGCTTTGCTAGCTACTGTGTTTTAAAAGGCCTATTTGTTGTTATACATCTTTACCTCGATATAACACTGTCCTCGGGAGCCAAAAAAATCTTACTGCGTCATAGGTGAAACCGCGTTATATCGAACTTGCTTTGATCCGCCGTAGCACGCAGCCCCCCCCCCCCCCCCCGAGCGCTGCTTTACCGTGTTATATCCAAATTCATGTTATATTGGGTCATGTTATATTGGGGTAGAGGTGTAGTCACTAGTTCCATTCGGACCTCTACAGGGCAAAATTATGTCAAAGAAATTTGAAGATGGGGTAATTTGAATAAAACTGTGCCCTTTCTTTAGAAATGGCAATTAAAATTACTAAACAAAAATAAAATACCATAGATATTATTAAACGTTGTTTGATATACTTACTGGTCCAGAACAATAACATCCTCATGTTTTGTATATTGTCGTGCCAATCTCAAGGCAAGATCATTGGCTTCTGATCTGCAATTGAAAATTCAAAAACTATTTCACTGCACATACATGGACAGGATTTGAAACCTTGGCCTTCCTTGCTGTGCCATTTTGCATCCAAAATGACATCAGTTGTATAGGCAAATAATCACAGGTGCAAAACTGCAGGCCACTGGGCTGGAATAGGACTAGGATTATGATACTACATTGTACTTACTAGCTACAGGCGTGAAAGGATTTGAGTGTTTATGGGTAAATGTTCACTGTACATACACAACCAGATAGAAAAATATTTCCATCTAGGATAATCAAAATAAGAAAAATGCTGCTTGAGAACTTAGAGTTTGAATCAAGGATATGACTTTGTATATTCTGACGTGATATTGACAATTTGTGCTTTAGCATTTTTCTTAATGTTTGTCATTAAATAATTGTCTTCGCCCCCATTTTGCGTAACTGAAAATTTAAATAAATTAAAAGAAAATAAATAAAAATTGAATTCTGCCAAGCCTAGTTCTATAGCACTTTTCAGCAGAAGATCTGAAAGCATTTTACAACAATGGGTAAGTACATGATATAAATTACCAGAGAAGCAGGCCAAAACAATCATAGCCGTGATTAGTTTGAAAGAAAAATTATCATCTCTGAAAACAGAAATGAATACCCTTATACAGAAATCTGACTACCTGAAAAGAACTATATTTTAGGGTAGGAATTACAGAGAGGCCAAGTAAGGATAATAATAGCTAGAATGCTTCTTTGACCATAGGATGCTGTTCCAGGAAGATGATTTGCTGGGAAAAGATGGGGGTCCACCTGAACAAGAAGGGGAGAGCATCTGCATACAGTAACTTACCAACCTAGTGAGGAGAGCTTTAAACTAGGTTCAAAGAGGGCAGGTGACAAAAGTTAGCATAAAAAAAGGCAACTTGATCAGAGGGCTAGGTGTTGGGATGGACATGGAAAATTAAAATGTGGTCATAGGAGCAACAAGAGGGAAATCAGTGGGAGAGTCTGCTCAACAACTTTGATGCCTATACACAAATGCAAGGCATATGAGAATAAATGGGAAAAACTGGAAGTATTAGTACATAAGCTAAAATATGACTTAACTGGCATCAGGGAGATTTGGTAATACAAGTCTCATGACTGGAATATAGGGGTATAACTTATTTAGGAAGGAGAAGCAGGATAAAAAGGGAGGAGGTGTGGCATTATATCACAAGAATATATACACTTGTTCTAAGGTTCAGGAGGAGGTGAAAGACAAACCAGTTGAAGGTCTTTGATATAAGGGGGGTAAATTGGGATGATTCATGGTAGGGGGTCTACTAAAGACCATATCAGGAAGAGGAGGTGGATGACGCATTTTTTAGAACAAACAGAAATCTGAAACACAAGACCTGGTAAGCATGGGGGACTTTAACTACCCAGATATCTGCTGGAAACACAATATGACAAAAGACAAAATTTCCAGAAAGTTCTTGGAATGTATTGGGGACAATTTTTTGTTTCAGAAAATAGAAGTAACCAGGATGATGGCCAGCTTAGACTTGATTCTGACCAACAGTAATTAGGGTGAAAGTGACCATGAAATGATCCTTTTCTTAGAATCATGAAATCTAAGGGGGGGGGGGGGGAGGAGAGAGCACAGCAGAATAAGGACAATGGACTTCCAAAAAGCAGGCTTTAACAGACTCAGAGAACTGGTAGGTAAAGTCCCATAAGAAGAAAATCAAGGGGAAAAGGGGTTCATGAGATCTGGCAGTTTCTCAAGGAGACAATATTAAAGGCAGAACTGCAAACTATCCCAGTATGGCTGCATCAAGAGCTCTTCAATAATCTGAAAAATCAAAAAGGAATCCTACAAAAAGTGGAAACATGGACAATTGCCAAGGAACAAGACAAAAGAACAGCACAAGCACATGGGGAAGGAATCAGAAAGGCTAAGGCACAAAATGAGTTACACCTAATGAGACATAAAATGTAGTAAGAAGTTCTTTAAATATATTAGGAGCAAGAGAAAGATGAAGTAAAGTGTAGATCCTCTACTTAGCAGGGAAGGAGAGCTAATAACTGATGACATCAAGAAGGCGGAGGTGTTTAATACCTATTTGGCTTCAGTCTTCACTAAAAAGGATGTAACCAGATACTCACCACAATTAATATTAACAACTGGGGGAAAGGAGTACAAACCAAATAGGGAAAGAACAGATTAAAGAATATTTAGATAAATTAGATATAGTCAGATTGGCAGGGCCTGATGAAGTTAACAATCCTAGGATTCTTAAGGAACTAGCTGAAGCAATCTTGGAACCCTTAGCAATTATCTTTCAGAACTTCTGAAGGACATGTGGAGCCCCAGAGGGCTGGAGAAGGGCAAACGTACCCATCTTTAAAAAGGGGAACAAAGAGGACCCAGGAAATTATAGTCCGGTTAGTCTAACTTCTACGCATGGAAAGATACTAGAATACATCTGTATGCATCCAGAGGATAATAAGGAATAACCAGCATGGATTTGTCAAGAATAAATCGTGCCTAACCAACCTAATTTCCTCCTTTGACCGGGTTACTGGCCTAGTGAATGAGGGGAGCAGTAAAAGTGATATAGCTTGATTTTAGTAATGCTTCTGATACAGTCTCACATGACATTCTCATAAGCTAAACAAGGGAAATGTAGTCTATATGAAATTAATATAAGGTGGGTGCACAACTGGTTGAAAGACCATACTCAAAAGAGTAGTTATCAATGGTTCATTATCAGACTGAGAGGATGTATCTAGTGGGTGCCGCAAAGATCAGTCCTGGGTCTGTTACTATTCAATATTTTCATTAATGACTTGAATAATGGAGTTGGAGAGAATGCTTATAAAAATTGGAGATGACACCAAGCTGGAAGGGGGTTACAAGTACTTTTGAGGGCAGGATTAAAATTCAAAGTGGCCTTGACAAATTGGACAACAGGTCTGAATTCAACAAAATGAAATTCAATAAAGACAACTGCAAAGTACTTCACTTAGGAAGGAAAAATCAAATGCACAACTACAAAATGAGGAATAACTGGTTAGGTTGTAGTAGTGTGGAAAAGGATCCGGGGGTTATAGTGGATCACAAATTGATTATGAGTCAACAATGTGATGCAGTTGTAAAAAAGGTGTATTATGGGGTTTATTAATGGGAGTGTTGTATGTAAGATGGGGAGGCAGTTGTCCCACTTTACTCAGCACTGAGGCCTCAGCTGGACTACTGTGTTCAGTTACAAGCACCATACTTTAAAGATGTGGACAAACTGGAGAGAGTCCCAAGGAGAACAACAAACATTATAAAAGATTTAGAAAATCTTAGCGATGAGGAAGGGTTTAAAAAACGGGCCTTTTTGTCTTGAGTAAAGATGACTGAGGGGGAAGATTTTCAAATATGTGAAGGGCTGTTATAAAGAGGATAGGGATCAATTATTCTCTATCCACTTAAGGTAGGACAAGTAGTAATGGGCTTAAGCTGCAGCAAGGAAGATTTTGGTTAGCTATTAGGAAAAACTTCATAACTACCAGGATAGTTAAACTCAAATATGCTTCCAGAGAGGCTGTGGAATCCCCATCACTGGATGTTTTTAAGAACAAGTTGGACAAACACCTGTCAGGCATGGTCTAGGTTTACTTGGTTCTGCCTCAGTGCTGGGGGCTGAACTTGATGACCTCTCAAGGTCCTTTCCAGCCCTTCCTTTCTATAATTCTATGATAAATCAGTTTAGACAAGAAGCTATCAAAGCTAATACTATGAAAATTAAATTTACGCTGACTGCTTTTATTGCAGTATAGATAGTACTGCCTTTAAAGATTTACAATTATTTGAAAAAAAAAATATTGCCTGATAGAGCAGAGCCTTAGAAATAGAATAAAATGCTCTTCAAAACCAGAATACTTTTAATAGTTTTTTGTATCAAAAGTGTATTTTACTTCATATCCTAATGTATAGTATATTTTCTTGGCAAACGTAGTTAGCTGGAATTGTATGTGTTAGTTGATACAAACATTATGGAATTTAGTCTTGTTCTGTAATTCAATCCTGAGATAATATAGTATACATTTCTGTTTAGTGCATGGGGAACATTAATAAAAACATTTAAATGCATCATTAAATGTAATAATACATTTTCAAATTTCAGCATCCAGCGCTTGAATATCCCCATACCTCAAAAATAATTTAAAATAAGATTGGCAAGTCCCACGTAAGCCAGAGCAACCACAGACAGAGCAAGAAAAGGAAAAAACCCTTAGTATGACAGAGTGAGAACACATCTAAATAATATAAACTGTTCGTGTTTTCTTTTATAAGCTGCTTTTTAAAAGCTTTTCAAAACCATTGTGTCTGTGTTTGCCTAATAATTTGGTAATTTAAACCTTTAGAGCAGCAAAAGTTTAAAAAGGATAAAATCCAGCAGCTTTCTCAAAAAGTCTGAAATTATTGTCTCGTCTGCAAAACCAGACAATGCATGATCTACACCCCGACTTACAAGACCCTGCAGCTAGCTACTTACAATGAAGTGTATAGTCACTATACCTATACCTCAGGTATAGCTACGAGTTTATCACTAGTAATACCTCATACTTACCCTGAATTCAAAAAATAGAATTTGCAGAGCTTCTCAGGCAGTGTTTTAGAAAGTCTCTTTGCATAATCCACCAAATTGTCATGGAGATAGCGAGAATTTGTATTTAGCAACTGATTCTGTTCATGTGCTGCTTTTACTACATCCGGATGGCAGTGCCCAACTGAAAAAAAGGGGAGTTTTAATGTTCTCTCCATTCATACAAGTTCTTTCCCTAGGACATTTGTTGTTGACAAATAGATAAATACACACTGTCTTTGCCCACTGACACTACTGTTGATACACTACTGCTGCAATAAAGGGAACACACTGCGGGTATGCTTGGAGAGTCTACATTAGGGTGCATCATCTGGTTCACAAGTTGTTCTGTTTGTATTTGTTAAAAAATGGCTTTAGTTCATATTCTTAATCAGATTTCCGGAATCCTGTGTATCAGCTTGCTAAATCGGGTAGTATCCAGTTTGATCCACTGAACTGTGTGCGCACTCTGCCTTCTAAATCCTTCAAATGCATAGCTCTGCATAGGGCTATAAGCCTTGACCACTTTGATAGATTCCAAATACATGCAAGAGGAAACATGTTTTTCCACTGAAGCAGCAGTCAAGGAGTAAACAAATAAACAGTCTTAGGGGAGAATATACACAAAAACCCCTGCCTTACGGGAAAACATACACAAATGGAACAGACCATATAAAGTAATTAATTACTTACAGCTAAACAGTTGATCTACTTTTGGCTGCCTAAGCAGGAATCTTGTGAATTTCAGTTTACTGCGTTTTTACAAAGATTGGGCAGAAAGCAAATGGGGAAAATTTCATGTATCCACACCAAGAAATCAAATGTATTGCCCAAATTACAGACCCAAGAGATGTTTTCCACCCTTTTCCAATCAAATGACAAAAAAATTGGGCTTCTGCAATGCAACATAGTATTGCCATAAGAAAAACAAATGCTGTTTTTATTCTGTTTGGTTGAGTTCTCCCAGAATATTGTTGCCTTCATTTAGAACAACCTGATAATGAATAATGTTATTTTAAACTTACCATGAGACACATTGTTGATACAGTCAAGGTATTCTCTTCCATGTTCATCATATATATACTGGCCTTTTGCCCTAACAATCTTCACTGGATCTTCAGGAAAAAAGAGCTTGCAGGAAGAGCTGTACCAAACATCAAAACCACAAAACTTCTTGAACTATAAGATCCTGATAAAACATCTAAAAGTCACACACAATTAACTATTGCCAATCTTTTTGTAATTTTAACCAAAGGCAAAATGGAAGCAATATTTTCTCAAAATAAACTAAACATGAACTGCCTGCACTCTACTTCAGTCCCCTCAAACAAACCATGCGCTAACAGTCAGCCAACTTAGGTTTTGGTGGACCAGCAGGGAAAACCAACTTCAGATTCACAAGCCCTTCACTGAGGATGTCTGACCACCAAACTCCAGCATTTAAATATAGGGACTTGTATCTAGTGTCTCGTCTGATTTGAAATGCTGTGGTCCCCTCATTACATTATTATTACGTTAAAATTTTATAGAGAGCTATATGTCTCCACTCCCTTTGTCTCCTTCAAGAGGCACATACACTAAATTCTGTTAAGATTTCCTCCCAAATCCGATCTTCTCAACTTTTCGTATTTTTTCCCCACCTTCCCTGTACTCTCTATATGGTTCTGATCCTGCAAATTGGAACCACATGGAGAGACCTGTGCCCACATGAAACCTCGGTGACTTCTGTAAGTCTCTGCATGGTTGCTGCAGTCTGCCCACATAGTTTTCTTTGCAAGATTGGGACCTAACCGATAAGTGTTCTTTTATAATGAGGTGCCCAAACAAGTAAAGCTCCTAAGTGCCTGCCCGAGGGAGCAGGAGAGATCATTCTTACCTGATGAAAATATGTAATTTCAAGTAGTTATTAAAAGAACAACATCAACTTGAAATCTAATCAGTGAAGTAGAATATGTTCTAGGTAAGACTAAGCTTTTGTCATGGTTATTTTTAATAAAAGACATGGACAAGTCATGGGCAATAAACAAAAATTCACAGAAGCCGTGACCTTTTGCTTCTGCAGCTCCATGGTTTCTCCCACCACCGCGGAGGCTGGTAGCTGTGGGGTTCCCCTCCGCTCACGGCGACTGGGAGCTGCAGAGTGACCATTTTTCCCAAAGAGAAAATGGGATACCCCATCTTTGTGCCTGAGGCATCCCCCTCCTCCCACGCGAGGCTGTTGCCCATCACTGGAACCCTGAGGAGGGCCTCCTCAGGATTCTGTCGCCTGTCGCTGGAAATCTGCAGGGGGCCCCCTGTCGCCAGAACTTTGCCAGGGCCCCACTGGCTGTCAGCTCCAGAGTCTTGCAGCCCCTGGGGCTGAAGCAGAGAATGTCACAGAGGTCTCTGGAAGTGATGGATTCTGTGACTTCCATGACCTCCGTGACATAAATGTAGCCTTAGTTATAGTACCTGTGCCAGTTTGTGTGGGTTTATAACCATATATCTCTATTGTCAAAATCTATTTTTCTTGCCTCTATTGCTGTGTGAAAGACCTACACAAACCACAGGGGACACTGAAAATGCATGCACACAAAATGCTGTCAAATACACAAATATAATGAAAAATAGAGAAAAAAAGTTTTTCTCTACTGTAACTCAGTGACAGCAATCTTACTGGTAACAACAATATAACAATAGTAGGTAAAAAATACTCTGATTTTTCAGTTTACAGTGTTCCTTTTAGCACTTAGAAGATAGCACTTATTAAGAAATCTGGCTTCCAATGTCGATGACTGTGGACACATCAATTATGAGAAGATTAAATTCTGAAAGATTGTTCCTCATGTTGTGTGTACGACTGAACCCATAACACATTTCTTCTAACACCAGAGCTCACTTTCCACCCATATCCTTCTTGTCATAAAACCTTTACAGATTAAGAAAAGCCAATTGAGAGAAGTCTGTCCTTAGTCTGGTCTTTAATACACAACTTAATTTCAAAGGTCAACAGTCACGTAATCCGATTCCTTGCTATTGTCTTTGTTGCATTCAACAGCTCTATGGGGTTTTGTGATCTTTTTGAAGTGCAAAGAAATGTCCAATAGTTCATTTTCTTCTGTTGCCAATTAATTGAACTCTGCTGAGGAAATCTAGTACAATAAAGGTACTTCTGTTTTGTAAATGTCTCAACTACACTTCTGGTTTTGGGCTGTAGTATTATAAAATGAAGTGGAATATGTGAAATTAAATATATGAGAGACATTTTGCAATATAAACAAAAGTAGCCTCATAACACATAAGAATGGCCATACTGGGTCAGACCAAAGGTCCATCTAGCCCAGTATCCTGTCTTCCAACAGTGGTCAATGCCAGGTCCCCAAGGGAATGAACAGAACAGATAATCAAGTGATCCATCCCATTGCCCATACCCAGCTTCTGGCAAACACAGACTAGGGACACCATCCCTATCCATCCTGGCTAATAGCCATTGATGGACCTATCCTCCATGAATTTATTTAGTTATTTTTGAACCGTTATAGTCTTGGCCTTCACAACTGTGACGTTACACTTCATATTCTTAGGTTGACTGTACGTTGTGTGGAAAAATACTTCCTTTTGTTTGTTTTAAACCTGCTGCCTAGTAATTTCATTTGGTAACCGCTTGTTCTTATGTTATGAGGAGTAAATAACACTTTCTTATTTACTTTCTCCACACCAGTCATGATTCTACAGACCTCTATCTAAGAGCCTGATCACCATCTCAGCTCCACCAGCATAAATCCATATAAAGCATATCAACAGCACTGGCGTTGCTCCTAAATTATTCTAGCGTTAATCCAAAATAACATTCTGGATTTACAGCGATGTAACTGAGGCTACCTCTTCACTTATGGAAGTGTGTAGACTACAGACACAGCACACCCAGCTAGCCCAGGTATAAACAGCAGTATAGACTGTGAGACCTGGCTTTAGGCAGGGGTTCTGGAACAATTTTTATAGTGAGGGATGCTGATGACGAAAACCATCTATTTGGTGTTTGTTAATGCTATTTCAAGCCAGGTGGTGCAGAAGCAACCCCCGTTCCAGCAGTATTGGGCTTTGGTGGGTAGAGTGCCCTGAACCCACAGGCCATATACGCTACATAGCTCTTTATCTACCCAAGAGGTGCTGCTCTTGTTTAAACTGCTATTTTAGCAATGTCGTATCCCACTGCTTCCTGCTGCCAGAGTCTTTCCCCACTGCTGGAGCCTGTCTCTGCAGCGGTGTAGCTACACACCAGTGACAAGTGTGGATGCAGCCTGTCTTTCACTGCAGCCTGTAGTTACCCAGGGAAGGCCTCTACTCTCCCCCCACCCTGAGTGTGGACATAACCGGAGATCATCATCAAGACAGTGAAAGTGATTAAACGACAGTCCTTTCAAGAACAAGTGGATTCAAAATTATTTTCAACTGTTGAAAAAATTGAAAGAGGGAGGGAATTCTGAAACCCCCCAAATCGTCAGATCCGTGAATTAGGGAAAAAGAAACCTAACGATTTTGGGAGACGGAGCAAAGACCATGGGGGCGGAGGGTTATAAAGCACCACAGCTGTAGACGTGAAAAAAGGAAGAAGCGATCCCGGAAGAGCGCCGCTTACAGTCCCCGCTCCTAGGAGGCGCAGCGGAGCCAATTTCTGCCGTGAAGTTTCAAACTAACGCAACCGCGGAGGGAGTTGCGTCAGGAAAGGGGCCGCCCGCCCTGCCCTGCCCTGCCCTGCCCAGGAGCGGGCAATGGGCGCCTCGGTGCGTCCCGAACAGTCTCGCAGCCCGCGGGCTCCGCTGAGAACCCGGCTCCTTCCAGGCCGGGGCAGCCCGAGCCGCGCCCGAAGGGAAGAGGGACCCGCTTATGCTCCGCGCCGTGCCCGAGCCCACCCCGCCGCACCTACCCGATGAGCTGCCGCCGCAGGGCTAGCGTCTCCTGCCGGGAACTCGGCCGGGCCTGCATGGCTCTTCTCTTGGGGAGAGGGGCGGCCCCGCCCCGCCGAGCTGCCTTCTCTCCGGGCGGGCTCGGCTCCAGCCCCGCCCCGCCCGGGAAGCGCCGCGCTCCTGAGGGAACCCGCCAGCGCAGCGGGCCGGGCCCAGGGCGCTCCCCGCCAAGTCACACCCTCCCCCTTCCGTCTCCACGGGGCCTGCTGCTGCTGAAGGCGAGAGGAGCAAGCGTGGGGCGAGGAGCGCTGGCTGGAGAAGGGGGGGTTAGATTGGCCCCCTCAGGAGCATGTCTGCCCTGTGCCCGCCCTGCTGGCCTTGGCCCCACGGGCTCCCCCTGGACCAGTTCTCTTCCTGCCTCCCTCTCTTGCTGCCCCAAAGAGGGGATGGGCACGCTGGAGCCTCCTCATTCTCAGGCCGGGCCCTGCCCTTGCTTGTGTGTGTGTAATCCAGTGATGGAATCGCCCTCATTGGAGATTGTTAAGAGCAGGTTGGACAAACACCTGTCCGGGATGGTCTAGATAATACTTAGTCCTGCCATGAGTGCAGGGGACTGGACTAGATGACCTCTCGAGGTCCTTTCCAGTCCTATGATGCTGTGATCACTTTCAGACCTCTTGGCTGGACTCTGTGGAGATTTTACCAGTGAAGGAGGTGACTCTGCTTTAGAATTCACATGGCGTTAATAAAATTATTTTATGTCACTGGCCTGGGCCCTTCCAAATCCTCATTATCTGTGTTGTAAGGTTTTCGCTTTTGAATATTTGTATTTTAAGGCAGGTGTTTCTAGATCTAAAAATTAATTGTGGTGTGTGTTTTTGTGGGCTACCTTTCAGAACGTTGTCCAATATCACAAACTTATTGGCAGCACAATATATACCCCATAGTCTTAAGCAAAGAAAAGTTTGTATTCCCATATTCCTGTGTTTGCTCAGTGAAAGAGTAGCAGAGCTGACAATGCTGGAGAAAAATGGCTTATTCTCAAACTGGTAAAGAGGGAACATGAACAACGGGAAATACTATCATTAATTCAGATTGGTCACATTAACTTATTTGCACAGATTTGTTTCCACTGTGGAAGAACTATTGAAAGCCTGAGGGGAATTCTCCCACCCACTGCATAAAAAGTTTGCCCTGTTTTAAGCGTAAATGTTACAAAACAATGCCTGCACCCACTAATGAACTGGAGTAAGCAGTCTGCAGAAATTGCAGGCCTGAGCCCTTTGTGAACTGTTTGAAACAGCTTGATAGATTTTGTTACTGATTAGAAAATAGGGTCATCAATAAATTGCATCTTTAGTTGCAGCTGTGGACGGATTTACTTGATAAATACAAGAGGAATTTAATTTCTGTGTAAATGTGAATGATTTGGAAATGATCTATCATGGACTCCAAACTATGTTGATTTTAAAATCAAATTCATTTGTTTTATATTAGTGACTTGTTGAATAATTAAACATACATTAAAGGGGAAATTAATAAGGTTGTTAATTTTTATTTGAATTCTTGCCTCATTAAAACATTTAGTAGTTATTTAAAACAAACATTTAGAATTTGGAAAGTTTATTCTTAGTTACAGATGCTGCAGTTTAATATACATATTGACACCATCATAACAACAACTTGTAAAGGGAGGCAGTTTTATTTTTTTTAATCCAAATATTAACTTATTACAGATTAAAACACAATGAAGCAATGGTTTTGAGGGTTTCAAAATAATGCACTGTTCATTACAGTTATAAAATAGAAATAAAATGATGCAGTACTAGTTAATACCATTTTAACATAATAAACAATGGATAAACACTATTAATGCCTTTTTTAAAAAACAAACGAACAGTTGTTCCCCAAAATTATGACTAAATATAACACTTCTCTTGGCATGTACATTATAACAGTGTATAAAAGGGGTTAAAAATAAAACTTGCTAAATAGCTCTTTTGTATAAAGGTATCTATTTTTGTTTTAGAAAAGCAATACATTTTACTGAAACTTAGGAAAGCTTTGTATAAGATACTATGTAAATACATTCAAACAGAACTGTTATTCACAAGAAGCCCAATATGCAAACACTTACTCATGTGGGTAGATGAACAGATGCAGCTGAAGTGAATGTGATTACCCACATGAATAAGGAATGCATGCATAGCAGTTTATAGGATCAGGCCCTTCTGACATACTGAAACCAGGTGAGCTAATACACTTATTTATATTCTTCTAAATACTGTATAAATAGGTCAGATTTTCATTTAGTACAAAATACTAACAGTTGTAGCTTCTTCAACTGCAGATAATTGCACTTAGATTATAAAATGAGTGCAGTTTAAAAAGACTTGTATATCCACCCAAAATAAAACTGTATGGGGCAACAGATAGCAGGTGGTTTTGTTTGCACTTTGATTATTTGGATTGTAAACTGTGATTGTAGCCTTAACTTCCTGCTCAGTGGCATTTCCAGCTGTATGTTTTATCATACTGAATATATCTTTTTTTCCTGTGAAATGCAGAAAGTAAAACATCAAAGGTAAATGGAGAAAAAACAAACAGTGCAAGATAAAAATTATTGTATTCTGAGAATTTCTACAATATTGCACTCCACCACATTGAAGTTACCAACCAGAATGCACCCCGTAAGAGACTGATCCAGCTTTCATTTTAGCCAATGGGCCTAATGCTGAAACTCAGTGAGTAATTGGGTGCTAAGCACTTTGCAAAATCAGGTTCTAACTATATTTATGTTTAACTAAAGAAAACAAATCTGAAAATACAAACTCAATTTTACACACTCAAATAAAATAAATTGCAAAACCTAGGTTCTGTACATATCACTTTTTGAAGATGTGTACAAATCAGTGTTTATCATCCGAAAAAGCAGCAGGGCAGGTCTTAGTGAGTTACAGATTATGTATTTTAAATATATGCATGAGATTCCTCCATTTTTACTTCACTCTTTTTAATAAGTCTCTGTTGTATAATGGAGCCTCACAAAAATAGTTAGCTGACTGTTCACATTACATGAAGCTCAGCAACAATGAGGCAGCCTCTACCAACCAGCCTGTAGTACACCTCTACCCCGATATAA